TGTGACGCGATCGGGAGGGGTAGGCGGTCGCGCTGGGGGCGGCGCGACACGGCTCGGGCCCGCCAGTGCCCCAACGGGGCCCTAGTTTCTTCTTGTCATCTCTTTATCAAAAAACTACGACTTCTGTACTGAAAGTTTATTGTGCTATAAATCCAGAAAATGAAAATCAATTTTGAACTTAAATCAATTTTAGTAAAAATTTCACAGCGCACACACATAACTCTAAAACATTATTGCACAGAAACTTTAAAAATAAAAATTCTTAAAATCTGAGAGGGTATTTGAATCTCATTTGTTACCTTTATTAGATATTTTCATATTTTATCAGCAGCACTGACTCATTTTAAACTTTTGCTGTAGGAACAAAGTTGATGTTGATTTTCTGCTCACAGAATGAAGCTGATAGTTTCACGATTACTTGTCCGAGAACAATTTGAACAGGATGATGTATTTCCAAAGGGGTGAATGAAAAGCTGCAGAAAGATGGAGGAATAATGAGGAGATGGAGATAAAAATAGTTTACATTTGGAGGTAAAGAGTTTGTCCTTCCTTTGTTCACAGTGCAGTAAAGGTCATCTTAGATAACCTGAAATTAATAATGAACCTTTCAGATCTACACTTCTTCAAATAATCAGGCTCTCTCATCACCATCAGCAGGATAGAAACTCTGAACTCCATTCTCTCTCTCTCTCTCTTTTTTATATCAACCCATTTCTTTTCATGGGGAGTCAGACAGCAGGATGTGTTCACAGATTCTTTTCATTTCTCTGATTTACAGTCAGCGTTAATCTCCCTCTGTCTCTGATCAGGTTTGATCTTTGAGGAGGTGGTTGTGTGGGCCCTCTTGATGGTGATGTGGGAATTTACACCTCTGGACTTGAGGGCCATTGTGTTTCCTCTTCTCTAAAAGCAGATTTCTTCTTGTGTTGGAGTCATTAGTTTGGTTGCCAAACGTGATGCAAAAGCTGTGACGGCGTCCTTCAGAAGAATCACCAATCTCAATGGTGATTGAGATTGTTGATTCAAAACTACAGAGTTGAAAACATTTCTGCACCGACAGGAATGTGAAGGACAGAAGGTACCAGCTCAGCAGATGCAGGCCCTGCATCATGTCCCTCGGGAAATCTTTACCTGGTTCAAAGCAGCAGGTGGATTAGAAGTCAGTCAGAAAACAACAGGAGCTTGTTTTTATTTCCATCCTGGTACCCAGGAGGAGCAGAGACAACGGGCTCTATTTTGGTGCCTCGCCGGAGACGTGCCGCAAGCGCAGCGTCAGTCAGATCCGCCGCGCTGACAAGGCGTTCCCAAGCACATTTTGGTATTTTGGTGAGCCGCGCAGCCCGGCGTAAGTATCCCCCCCTCCCTAACTCAGCTCCTCCCAGCACCATAAAACGTAGACGGGGAGGAGAAAGGGCGAGACCTGTTTTCACCAATCACATAAGCTCCTCTCCTTGCCTTTAAATCCGCCACAGGCGAGGCGTATTACTATTTTCATGAAGTAGTCAAAGAGATCAAGAGATGTCTTAAGACAGTAATGCCACAAGATGGCGACAGAGGGCAGCTCCTCAACAAGTGTCCTCCACACTCTCTCATATGAGCACAGATGGATTTAGTGTGCGTAATGTTGGACCCACTGGTAAGACAAACAACCCTTTCCACAAATCAAGACACTCACATAAAGTTGTTCATATTCAAACCTCACGTGACAAAGGTGGGTTGAGCGCACAGATCACAACATAAACTCCAAAAATGGCATTAAAATCGGAACCATCTGTGCGTAAATGACGCATCGCGCTCCGTGGCCTGGCTCTTTCTTTCATAGATGTCGGCATATAAATGAAATTTGCCCCACAAAACTGAATATTGTAATATCCGTATGTCGGCTTAAAATAGATAACGCATCTGAGCACTGAAACAAATCATCTGTTCAGCTGCAGCAGCAGCAAGACGGACAGAGGACACGGAAACGTGTCCAGGTCGAGCTGTGCGAGAAATAAGAGGAAGAGGAAGAAAGAAAAGGAGGGAGACGAATTACATATCTTGTTAACTTCATCATGTGTGTTTATTTACTAGATATTTAACTTAATTTGATGCGGTTTCAGCTGTGTTGATCCGGTCAGGTTGTGTGTCCAAACGCGTGCCAAACGCGCTCATCAGATCAGATATAGATCAGAATATATCGATATAGATCTAAATGTATGTGCTGACTCAGATTAATAGTTGATGATGATTATTTATTGCACTGAAATGTGCCTGACACTGTGGAAACCTGCCGGTGAGGCATCAGTGACGTATGGCGATACGCCGCCGGTCTACTAAAATACTACTAGACCAGCTGCGTTCCGCCTTGCGCTGAAAGCTGACCAGGTTTGAATCGGCGAGCTTTCAGCGCACGTTACACGCCAGTGGCGAGCACGAAAATGTCACTGCGCCAGCTGATTCTGTCAACACCTCCCCCTGCCACGCCATCACGCCCAGCTTGGCGGATCTCGGCTCGCCTCCGTGCGACTCAGTCCACGAAAATACCAAACTCGCCTTACGCCGGGCTCCGCCAGACGAAAATACAACTGGGCGGGGCTCGCCACCCTCCGCCGCCTCACCGGCGCGCACGAAAATAGAGCCCAACGTCCTACTTTAGTCCAGGATCTGCTAGATCAGACGTGCCCACAGGAGGTCCACAAACTGAAGTGAGGAAAGGCTGTCTTTGTTGCAGCTCTGGAACAGTGTGTCATTCACAGCAGAAATCTCCACAGGGAGAGGATCCTATGACCATCTTACTTTCAATTTGAAAGTAAGATGGCGGCGCCCTATGAAGCTCTGCTTCATTGATCGGTAAAGTTATTATGCTATTTCATCCGCCAAAGTATGTTAACTGAAGATAACGACGAGCAAGGGAAAGCAAGTAAAAGGAAGAAAGACAAGGGCAAATCCCATGCTGGAAGAAGACATGGAAGAACTGCAAAAATCACTTGACTTCATGTCGGCGGAGCTGACACAAGTGAAGAAACGGCTAAGAGCGTTACCTGAGCTAGCCAACGAAATCAGGCAGCTCAAAAAAGTGATCGAGGACAAGGACAAAATCATCGTAGACCTTGAACGAAGGGTGCGCGACCTGGAGCAATATACAAGGATGGACGATGTCATTATCTCAGGATTAAACATCAAACCACGCACGTTCGTAAGAGCTGTTGCCGCGGGACCAGGTATCAGTGAAGACGCTGCTAAGTAATATCTGGAAATCCTCGAAACCTAATTTTGCATGTGTCAGAAAAATTAAACTGCATCTGACTTGCAGCCAGCTGAGAAGAACGACAGAGATAGTGGACTTCTTTTTCTTGGATATCTTTTACTTGCAAGGAGTCAGCAGCTTATCACAAAGGCAGCTTCCTCTGACTGAGGAATTCAGATTTTTACACATCCTTTATGCAGTCAAGAAACACAAACCCCCGCCCACTAACATCATCTCACAAGTGGCATGACATTACAACAGTATCCAAATAGGGCACAGGTTGCAGCTGTGGTCTGTACTGGGAGAACAAAGACAGCTTAGTTCATCATCAGGTTCCTGCTTATCAGTTCAATGTCACACTGTTGGGAAAACAACCTGTGAGTGAAATTGTAGCATTCATCTAGCTGCATGGCTTCAGCGGAAAAGTATCAGTCTCAACTCCAAGGCCATACTTCTCCTTTCCCATGCTCATTAAAAAGAAACAGATATGACTCTGCAAGCATTCACACCAAGTGAGTTTCAGTAACGCCTTTTTATAAAAAAATGTTCATACCTTTTTTGGACATGTGCATGATACTTGCTTATTTTTGGACAAAATAGAGACTGCCGTTTGTGGACATATTTGAACCTGTCTGACTGGATGCGCCTAATGTCTTTACCTGTGTGTGAGTGTACGTGCATGTGGCTGGGTGCGTGGGTGTATGCACGTGCAGATCCTGAGTGTGATGAACTGAGCCAATCGAGGCTTATAATGCTTTTTTTAGCTGTATTGATGATGTTCTATGACAAACATTGTCCCTTTAAAAAGACTTTCCACAAAAATCAACAAAAACATGTCAAGCCTTGGATGACTAAAGAAATAAAAAATGCTTGTAAAAAGAAAAATCAACTTTATGAAAACTTCTTAAACGATAGAAACGAGGAGTCAGAAACTAGATACAAGAAGTATAAATACAAGCTCACTAATATTATTAGAATAAGTAAAAAGGACTACTATTATAAGATACTGGACCAATACAAAATAAATATTCAAGGTACCTGGAAAACACTCAACAACATAATCAAGAAGGGCACCGGAAAAGTAAAACTCCCAAATTCCATTAATAAGAACAACACAACAATAGACAGACCAAAAGAGATTGCAGATGCATTTAATGATTTTTTCGTGAATGTAGGACCGAATCTTGCTAATGAGATAGTGGAGCCCAGAGATAAGCATGGTCTAGATGAAAGACTGATTAACATGAACCTGCACTCCATCTTTATTAGCAGCGTAAATGAATATGAAATTTTGACAATTGTCAACAACCTCAAAAATAAAAAATCGACAGATCACACCAACATAGACATAACCTTAATTAAAAGTATAATCGATACCATCTTAAAACCTTTCACTTATATTTGTAATTTATCATTCCAAGCTGGTATTTTCCCAGATGAAATGAAAACTGCAAAAGTTATTCCTATAAACAAAAATGGAGACAAACAACTACTCACCAATTATACACCGATTTCACTACTCCCTCAATTCTCCGAAATCCTGGAAAAGCTATATGGACAGGTTGAACAGTTTTATCAATAAGCACCATCTGCGGAGTCACGTGGGACCGCAGGGAAGATGGCGGCACAGTAGGAGAGCTCCCCACGACCATCAGCTAATTAAGTAAATTTGGAGACATACACTTCGTCCCTAGCCTGAAAAGTAAGGCCCTGTGTACTGGAAAATAACTACTACCCGTTTCTGACCAGAAATTTGTACTTCCCTGGCGAAATGTCGAACAACAGCAAAGCTAACTTTTTCAAAGGTGCGGCTACGAGAAGTAAGCTAGCCTCAAAGACCAGCCCAACACGTGAACGCACCTCCGCGTCGCCGACAGCGGCATATGACAGCGACCGTACACCTGGAGAATATGACGAGAAAACGGTGTTGGAGGAAATACGGAATATGAGTGCTACTCTTCAAATGGTTGCAACGGATGTTGTCTCAATTAAGGAGACAACGAAAGAGCTTAAAGATGCGGTGCAGAGCATACAAGTGAGACTAGGAGAGGCAGAACAACGGATATCTGACGTGGAAGACGTAAACACACGAATGGAGAAAAGTATGGAGAAATGTGGCAAGAGACTGGAAACACTGTGGACGCGCGTGGAGGACCTGGAAAATCGCAGCAGGAGAAATAATGTAAGAGTGGTGGGACTAAAAGAGGGCAAGGAGGAGACGGGCAAAGTTATTCAGTATGTGGAAAAGATCATCTCTCAGGGGCTCGGGCTGTCCGGCAGCGAGTTTGAAATTGAACGTGCCCACCGCTCTTTGGCGCCCATACCGGACCCGGACCAACCGCCCAGGACCATACTGATGCGCTTTCTACGTTCATCGGCCCGAGACAAGGTGCTGCAGGTGGCTAAGGAGAGACGGGGGATCGACTGGGAGGACTGTAAGCTGTCCTTCTTTGAGGATGTATCCAGAGAACTGGCGGAGAAAAGAAAAGCATTCACTCCGGTGAAGAGACGTCTGCATGCGCTAAACGTGAGACACAGGCTGGTCTACCCGGCGACACTCATCTTCACATGGAAAGGGCAGAAGAAAACTTTTCGAGACAGCAATGAAGCGGAGGAGTTTGTGCAAGGTGCTGAATAGAGGATCCGGGGACTTTATGGAAACCAGACGAGGTGTATGTGTTAATCTGTTGGAATAAGGTAATTTTGATGATGGTTTGTGGGAGGCAGGAAGAGCTGTGCTGTCACGAGCTGACAGGATGCGCCTCACGGACACGGTTAATTTAGTTCAGGTTAATAGGGGGGCGGGGTGGGGGTTAGTTAGAAGCACAGAGTTTTGGGTTGCTTAAACCGGGGTTATGTTTGTGTTTTTCATGTTTTATCTCTGCACCAAGACAGTATATCTGAGAGCACCTAACGTTTTGAACAGCCTTTTGAATACGTGTTTAGTTATTATTAAAACCATGTTGAGAGAACTGAGGTCAAAGAGCATTTACATGTTGAGAAATGATGGCTAACAGATACATTAATATAATATCGTGGAACATAAATGGATGTGGGAACCCCACTAAAAGGAGGAAGGTTTTGACATATTTGAAATCTAAAAATACAGATATAGCATTTATTCAGGAGTCTCATATAATGGGAGATGAAGAGGCAGGAAAATTTAAAAGAGGCTGGGTAGGTAAGGTTTTTCATAGTTCATATTCAAGTAAACAGAATGGGGTGATGATACTCATAAATAAAAATTTAAGCTGTATTATATTGAAACAACATAATGATAAAGAGGGCAGAATTATTTGTATTGAAGCCTTGATCAATGGAATTAGGACAGTATTATGTAACATATATGCCCCAAACAAGGAGGAACCTGATTTTTTCCATGAAGTCAATAGAGTGATAGGAAACATGCAAGGCCAGGTCATACTGGCCGGGGATTTCAACCAGGTAATGGATGGACTAATTGATAAAAGTAAGCCCAGTGGTAGATCTTCACCCAGGGACAGAGCTGCAATTCATATGTTGGCAGAGGACTTGAGTTTGGTGGACATATGGAGGTTGGTAAACCCACGTGAGAGGGAGTATACCTTTTACTCCCACTGTCACAAATCCCATTCAAGGATTGACTTTTTCCTGATGTCTAACTCATTAATAGACTCAGTAGTAGAATGTGAGATAGGGGCTATTGCCCTTAGTGATCATGTTGCTGTAGAGTTACATGTTGACCTGAACACAGATAAGGTGAAAAGAGGGCGTTGGAGGCTTAATACTATGTGGCTACAGGATGTGTCATTTTGCAATACGTTATCAGAGGATCTTAAATCTTTCTTTGAAATTAATATTGGTTCTACAGAAACAATTTCCTCGGTTTGGGAAGCATCTGAGGCTTATGTAAGAGGGAAAATTATTGCTCATGCCTCAAAAATGAAAAAGGAAAACGTGAAGAAAGAAAAATCATTGGACAAAGAGATCCGTAAATTAGAGAAAGAATTGGCAAGTCACTATACAGACAATTTATATAAAACAATTTGTAATATGAAATATCAACTACATGATAATAGAAAGGCTGAATATGCCTTATTTAGGCTGAAAACTAATTTCTATGAGGGGGGCGAAAAAAATGGCAGACTATTAGCGAGACAATTAAGACAACAGGACAATTCCAACACTATCCCAATGATTAAGAAGGATAATGGGGTAGTAACCTCATCAAAAGAAATTAATCAGGTTTTTAAATGTTTTTATGAAAATATTTACACATCCTCTGGTGCTCCCAACCCAGAAGAAATAACAACTTTTTTTTCAGGTATCCATCTGCCTTCCATATCTAATGAGCAAAAAGACATGTTGGATGCTCCAATAACAGAGGAAGAGATTAGGGCTGCTATTTCATCCATGAAAACCGGGAAGTCACCTGGTATGGATGGCTTCCCGGTTGAATATTATAAGAAATTTATTGATATTTTGGCCCCTATATTGCATAAGGTGTACATGGAAGCATTTGAGAGGGGTTCGCTACCAGGTACGTTTAATGATGCTTTAATTTCTCTTATTCCTAAAAAGGACAGAGATACCTCTGATCCGTCTAATTTCAGACCTGTGAGCCTACTTGGGGTGGATTGTAAGATTTTGACAAAGACCTTGGCGTCACGTTTAGAGAAAATATTGCCAGACATTATACATGGGGATCAAGTAGGTTTTATTAAAAAAAGGTCCTCGGTTGATAACATGCGAAGGCTCATTCATCTGATACATATGAATCGCTCTAATCCGGTACCAGTAGCAGCTTTTTCACTTGATGCTGAGAAGGCTTTTGACCGGGTGGAGTGGGAGTCCCTCAGGTTGACTCTTTCAAAATTTGGGCTGGGTACTGGGTTTTGTAACTGGGTGAAGATACTTTATTCTGGTCCGAGGGCAGCTGTTCTTACAAATGGGCTGATATCTGATTTTTTCTGTCTTTCCAGAGGGACGAGACAAGGGTGTGCTCTCTCCCCATTGCTCTTTACTATGGTACTTGAGCCATTAGCTGTAGCAATCAGAGCTGAGGTGAGGATTAAGGGTGTGAGGGCAGGGGGTGGAGAGCACAAGCTATTTATGTATGCCGATGACATCTTAGCAGTGCTAGAAGATCCTGGGGGCTCCCTGCCAGTGTTACTTGAATGTATTGAATGGTACTCAAAATTATCAGGTTACAAAATAAACTGGAATAAATCCGAATGTATGCCAATATCACATACATGCCACTCTGGGGTTATCACCTCTTATGGCTTTAAGTTTATACCTTCAGGTATGAAATATCTAGGCATTCAACTAAACCCAAATATTGACGAAATAATGCTCTCAATTATGGAACCACTCCTCCAGAAAATAAAAATGAACCTGGATAAATGGGGGAAATTGAAGCTCACATTATGGGGAAAAATTAATGTAATTAAAATGGTGGTGGCACCACAATTCAATTATGTTTCCATGATGTTACCAGTCAATATAGCACCACAGTTGTTTAAACATTACGATAGAATCATTAAAGATTTTTTATGGGATAAAAAAAGACCAAGGATTAATATAAAAAAAATGTGGTCACCTAGGGAGATAGGAGGTATGAGTCTACCCAATGTAAGATTATATAATATATCATTTGAAATGTCTAGATTGATAAAGCATTGGAAGGGGATAGGTCAGGAACTGAGCTGGATCAAAATAGAAAAGGAACTAACCAGCCCATTTGAACCTCTGGATGTTCTCTCACATGGTGTAAAAACTCCTGGACATAATTATTTTTCGAACCCAATGCTGTCTTACTCTAAAACCGTTTGGAGAGAAATTCATAAAATGTATAGTATCTCCCACTTAAGACAACCTTACGCCTCTCTATGGCATAATCCAGCCATCCGTATTGGGAAGAAATCTGTCTGTTGGAATCAATGGCTTGTAGGAGGGATACGCAAATTGAGTGATCTGTGTGTAGATGGAGTATTAATGCCATTTACTGATATTATGCAAAAATATAATCTGGAATATAAAGGTAATTTTTGGAAGTATTTGCAAATTAGGGACTGTATCACAAAGGGTAAATTTAGTCACAAAAAGAAAACATTGATGGAAGTTTTGGATCTACCCAGTACTGCACACAGAGCAGCCATATTCTACAAAACATTTAATGGTTTACGAGAAGATGCATGTAAAAATCTGAGGATCGTTTGGCAGAAAGACCTAGGGTGTGATTTAAGTGAACAGGACTGGTTAAATATATTATCAAATACAGGGAAACATATGAGAGAGGCGAAAGGGAAATTTATTCAGTATAAGATAATCCATAGATTTTATTTCACTCCTTCAAAGCTACATCGAATGGGCTTAATAGGAAATCATTTATGTTGGAAATGTCAGAGTGAAACAGGGACTTTTTTACGTATGATTTGGGGATGTAAACTAGTGTACCCGTTTTGGGGGAAAGTAGTGAACCATGTAAGTAAATGGCTGGGTGTGGCAGTACCTGTATCACCAAGATTGTGTTTGTTAGGGGACCAAACAGAAATGCTAAATATACCTAAACATGAAAGAGGGGTTTTAAAAGTGGGAATGGTCACAGCTGCTCGAACGATCCTCCGAGAATGGAAGAGTACAGTCGCCCCAGATGTTAAAAAGTGGATGGAAATGATGTCAGAAGTTGCATCATACGAACACATGCTGGCTAACATTAACAATGAAGAAGAACATGTTAGGAGGGCCTGGGAAAGTATTTTTTTGTAGAGGAAATATCGATATTAAGTTTGTGTACATGGCTGTAAGCTCGATATACTGTCTGTCGATGTTGGTGTCTTTTTGTTTTTTAGTTTGACTGTATGTTTAGGTGTATATAAAAGACTAAATAAAAACTTTAATGACAAAAAAAAAAAGCACCATCTGCTAAGTAACCATCAATATGGTTTTAGAGCCAAAAGGTCAACATCAATGGCAGTAATTGAACTCATTAAGCGCATTTCAAACGCAACGGACAAACTTAGAATTCATCGTCGGAGTGTTCATAGACTTGAGAAAAGCATTTGATGCCATCCACCACGAGACATTACTCAATAAAATGAATAGATATGGAATAAGGGGTACTTCCCTCACATGGATAAAAGCTACCTCACCGATAGGAAGCAATATGTGCATTTAAATGGAGTAGATTCTGATACCCAACCAGTTACATATGGAGTCCCACAAGGCTCTGTTCTTGGCCCCAAGCTTTTTATACTGTATATTAATGATATCTGTGATGCCCTGCAAGATCTAAACTGTGTCCTTTTTGCTGATGATACAAGCCTGTATGCCTCCGGTCCAGATCTTGAACAGCTCTTGCATGCAGTAGAAAATGATCTAAAAATTCTTAAAAAGTGGTTCGATATAAATAAATTATCATTAAACATAAATAAAACAAATTTCATTTTATTTGGTAACAAAATGATCAAAATTCCGATAAATCTATCCATTAACGACAGTGCTATTGAACAAGTTAACCAAACAAAATTTCTAGGTGTCATAATTGATAACAAACTAAATTGTAAGGCTCACATTGAAAACTTAAAAAGAAAAATATCTAAAATAATAGCTATCTTACACAAAGTCAAATATTTTGTGAACAAAAAATCACTCCAC